CTTAAATTGCTCTTCGTGTTTATAAATTTTATTTTTCTGGTAATACCATATATTTTAAGTAGAAAGTAAGTAGTAGTCTGGTGCTTAATGAAATTGACTAAACATGTCATATGATCTTTTCCTTTTTTGTTTTGCAATGGAAACACCGTTCACTTCTCTACTGGGATCTAAATTAAATTTCTGTCTTTGCCCAAACCTACTGGGGAGCCGACGAAGATATAACAATCACACCATTTCGTCTTCATAAATATTTCATGAATGAACTGCTTGTCCATCTCGCCAAGGAATATAATGCCTTTTTTTTTTCTTAGAGAGCTTGCCGCAAATTTTCAGTCGTATTTTTAAGAGATGCATGAACGGCGAGAGAGTTGACTTGAAAGGCGCAATGACTCGTCAAATTAAAGAACTAGAATGATCCGATAAAATTGATAAAAACGAATTAAAAAGTCGTATGATTCGAAGCTCAAAATAAACTTAAAACGTCGAATTGATCAAAAAAACTGATCGATCAATCATTTAAAAAAATTGGATTAATTAGAAACTGTTCAAAATTAATTTTAAAAATTGGATGATTCGAAAAACATTAAAGAAACAAATTCAAGAAGTCGGATTAATTCGAAAAACTGATCGAAAGGAAGTTGAAAAGGTATGATTCATCCGAAAACTTATCAGAGTAAATTTAAAATGGCAAATTAATCTGAAAATTTAATCAAACTTAATTTATGAATTCTGTTTCATTTAGAAATTTATGAAGTTAGTTTCATTCGAAAACTGGGGTTAAAGTAGAAACCTACATAAGTAAGTTAGTTCACTGTGACTTCAAGAGCTTGAACATCATGACCTTACAGTGCAGAGTAGCATCTATTTTCAAGAAATTTTCATTAATGCTGATTATGAAACCACAATTTTACGTTTAACCACAAAACAAATTTCGATTTGGAAACAATATGTTTGTGGCGAAATGAAAGAGTAATTGAAATTATTGATGTTTGTTTGTAATTAAGCACAAAGCTACACAATGGGCTGTCTGTGCTCTGCCCACCACGGGTATCGAAACCCGGATTCTAGTGTTGTAAGTTCGCAGACATACCACTGTGCCACTGGAGAGCGAAATTATCGATGAGATGAAAATAGGAAGACTTGTACACTGTTTACACTTTTTTTGTTTTTCTTGTTGTTGTTTTCTGGAACGTTTGTTGATATGAAGCTAGTTTTTTTGACAGGTTTTACATGATTCTGTTCAAACCAAGAAAATAAAAATCCTGAAACGACTTCTTCGCCTGCAGTTCTCTAACGTATGGCTAAGATTGATGTTAGTTAGAAATTCGCTAAGAACAGTTAGAAGTTCTGGAAGAAAAACAATCTACAATAAATCAGTGTTATTCATACTAAAAAAGTTCTGGGTAATGAATCGAGTGGAAAGGAGTATGTTTTTTTATGTACATAATCCAGTAAAGAACTAAAACGAAATATCAGAAATATTTTTATATAATCAATAAGAAGGAAAGCGTAATTAACAGCTATTTTAAACTTATGATATTTCAATATATGGTAATAAAGATCAAAGATCAAACCACCATGAAAACAATACAAAGTTAAAATGAACAGTGGAAAACTATATGAGGGAAATAAGACAAGGAAAAATCTAACTATTACATAATGGAAAATAATAACAATTCCCAGGAGACAACTTATAGTGTGGTAATCTATCAAATGTACCCTGAATTCAGACGTATCTGAGAAATAGGTAGTACTTATAAGTAAGGATGCACCTCTACCAAATTTAACATCGAAACAAAAATATAAGCTTCACCTTTCTATTAACAAAAATATCGCAGAAACATGTAATTATAGAAAATAAAGAAAATATTATGAAGCAGGTGTGAGTGATCAAGTCCAGAAAATCCCACACCTATACTGCTATTGATTATGTGCAACCAGAAATTGTTTCCATGAAAACAGCTAAAAAAACGGATCACTGAGAATGATAAGAAAAATGTTACAAGTTGATTTTCCATCTCTCATTTGTATCAATTAAATAACAGTAATGTTTGTGTCAATTAAATAACAGTAATGTTTGTGTCAATTAAATAACAGTAATGTTTGTGTCAATTAAATAACAGTAATGTTTGTGTCAATTAAATAACAGTAATGTTTGTGTCAATTAAATAACAGTAATGTTTGTGTCAATTAAATAACAGTAATGTTTGTGTCAATTAAATAACAGTAATGTTTGTGCCAATTAAATAACAGTAATGTTTGTGCCAATTAAATAACAGTAATGTTTGTATCAATTAAAGAACAGTAATGTTTGTGCTAATTAAAGAACAGTAATGTTTGTGCCAATTAAGTAACAGTAATGTTTATGCCAATTAAATAACAGTAATGTTTGTGCCAATTAAATAACAGTAATGTTTGTACCAGTTAAAGGACAGTAATGTTTGTGTCAACTGAATAACGATAATGTTTGTGTCAATTAAATAACAGTAATGTAAGTAAATTGTTAGACTAACAGCTAAACAAACCCTTTCTAAATTCTTTAATTGATAATAAATACTACTGGGACCTTTTCTAATGCAATCCGATTTAATCTTCTACTAATGTTATTTTAAACAAAATATTACGGGACGTAAATAATAACATTTCCTAATTTTACAGTATAATGATCCAATAAT